CTACGACTCTAACTACTGGTGGTCTTCATCGTCGCCGTCGACGCCTGAACGCCACCCAAATATCTTCTCGGTCGCCGGCCGCCGCGCGAAACGCCTTCCGCGCGCGCGCGGGCTCGCGTACAGCAGGGGATGACGAAGTGGCACTGTCCGCGAGGGGGTGACTCTTGGCTAGCATGCACACTAGCATGCACACCTGGCAAGCTTCGATCTTCATAGGCTTCAGAATCGAAGTGGTGAGCTGTTCATAATCTAGAAGTGAGGCGATTCCACAACCGTCCGATCGGAAGGTCGGCTAGTATCGACCACCTCGAACCGTCCGAAGTGTCAACGTTACGGCCATCAAGAACCGAGGCTACTACTCCGATAACTCTCGTGCGACCTAAGATAGGCACCCGGGGGACGGGTGGGGTTGGTATGGTGGTTAGGGTGGGTTGGGGTGCGGAGCGGGTGATTATTCCGGTTAGGTATTTAGTTTGAAGTGCCCGGGTAGCTTGTGTCACACGCCCGTTTAATACGGATCACACGAGAGGTGCCGGTATGAGGCTACGTACCGTAACAATTGTCCGGTTGGGCAGATTTTTGCCCAAGAATTGATTTCGTATCTCAGGGATTTTGGGCAGCTTCATTTTTGAATTCATTTTGTTTTTTTTACGGGGCAAAATGATCTACAGAACCTTAATTGGAATTTATTTTCAATTCAGATTTTTGGGCAAGTCTAAGAATATTTAATTGTTGCCCAACCGGACAATTGGTCCGGTAGTACGGAGTCCGGACACTGTTCTGCTGATTCAGACCCTGAAACTAACAGTTCTAACCTCGCCGTTGTTCCCAACTGGTCTAGCTTTTCCGAATCCTGAGGCTAGTGGGAGGACGGGCTCATACTAATCCCTAGCCAATTTTTTCTTCTGCTGGTGGCAACCTCGATAGAGAAGTGTAGGTTCGCTTTTCTTGTTATTCAGCAAGAGGTTGAGGATCTCGCTTTTTGTGTTCGACCTCTCGTGCAAGGATTTTGTTCCGAAAGGGGTCTCTTCTTGTGTCAAGTACGCGCTGCCACAATGGGAAAGCAGCGTGGGGAGCGGTCAAAGAGCCGGCCGTCGAGCAGCAGGTAAGAACTGTCCATGCTGATTGGCTGGATGTGAATGCTGCAAAGAGATGGCAATCCTGCTCTCCCTGCAGTAACCGATTGATGAGAGTGTGAGCTCGTTTGGTGGTAGATGACTTTCGTAAAACAAGTCCAGGTGCTTGGCATCTGTGGTGTATCATGGTCTCAAACCAGATGATGTGCATGCAACCTGCCCCGTTGTCACAAGTTTTTCCGGTCACTGCCACAAAGAGTTGGCTTGGGGGCGATTCCTCCATCATTGATCAGAAAGATTCAATCAAAGGCGTCACAGCAACTTTTCCACCACCACCACCATCGGATCTGAGCGACATTGTTTGAAGAGCAACATTTCCTTACGACGTGGCGCATTCCGAGCAGCTTCAGATGCTGTTTGATCAATTTCGGCAAACAGGAACCTGGCAAATCATTGTTACGTCTTCAGCCTGAATTTACCGCTTTCAGGGCTGCCATTGAGCTCTATCCCGTCTTCGCATTCTTGCACCTGCATAAAGCTGAATGAGGTCTTGAGTTGATGAATGCTGATCAGCACCTTGGTTCATACAGCCTTGCTGCGTCACTTGTCTCCGGTGGCAATGCACCACCTGCTGGGTTCGGCTTCGGGGGCTTTGTCGGCAGCGCTCGGGTCGCGGAGGCCACAAAAGGAGCTGATGAGGAGATCTCAGCGGTGAGCTTTAGGCAGATGAATTTCTCGTTCCGCTTTTGAATTGAAAGGATGCGGGAAACATTTGCATCAGGATGAGGAGATTTCAAAGTCAGTATCAAACACATCAACCTCTCGATCTGCTTTCTAAGAAGGGATGAAGTAACATCCGCATGAGGGCGGTCATGATCAAGGGTGTGTACGACATATGTGCTTGCTTGCACTGCTTAGTCGAGCGCTGTGTTCACTTGTAAGCTTTGCGAGCTCGTTCCGTACCATTGATTCAAAGCTTCAATGGCAGGGCCTCTCAGAAGATCTGAAAATGTCGAGAGAATGCAAAAAATCAGTCTTTCAGTACGGGGAATGAGTTGCTGTGTCCCGCTGTGCCTCTGATTCTACAAGGATGTTGTTAAACCAAGGATACAGTGAACTCGTGGAGGAGGCTTCAGTCTGTGTTCACTGGCCTGCGGCGAAGAAAAGGGGTACCGAAGGGGCTGCACCTTACCTGATCTTGTTCATTATCAACATTGGCAATCTAGTATTAGGTTAAAGCGCTCATCCCCACCTCCATACTTGAAGGGGCTCTCACCTTGTCTGACACCACACCTTCTTGCACATCCATTTCCATCTCTTCACGTTCAATGATGTTGAGACTTAAGCAAGCCTATCCAATTCACCTCTTGGCTGTTTTTGAGCCGCCACTGCATCCTTCCTTCACAGGACATTGATGGAGAAATCGCATCTCACTTGCGGCGCCTCTCCAAGCGCGACTCCACAACCAAGCTAAAAGCTCTCGCGGCCCTGGGGCCAATGTTTCACGAGCGGCCCCCCAGCGAGCTGGTGGCAGTGCTCCCGTCCTGGGTGTTCATCTACCGGCGCTTGGCGGCTGACTCGAGCCGCCAGGTGCGAGAGCAGGCGCACCTCGCGATGAAGGAGCTGGCCTCCAGGGTCGGGTGAGCATTCCTACAAGTGTTGTGTTCCTTTTTTGGAGTGAGCATCTTATCAGTAGTACTTTTCTTTTCTTTTCTTTTTGTGAGAGTGAGCATCTTTTTAGTTGCGTTTGTATCTTTCGGATTCTCGTAAATTCTCTTGGCCACAAACCAGGCTTCGTTCAAAACATTGGCGAGTTGAATCGTACTCCGCTTGCGGAGCCTCGCCCTCCAGCTGCGCGTCCTTGTGCGCCCTTGGTGCATGTCAAGTTCGATCCAAATTTAAGCTTCCAACTTCAAAGTCTCACAGATCACATACATTCCACTCTCACCCTGCCGACGCAGCGTAGCCCCTCACCTGCGTGTGCTCATGGGCCCCTGCTGGGTGTGCCAGTTGAGACCACCGCGACCAAACTACTCTGCTTAGAAATACCAAAATGTACGTGAATTCAAACTACTCTGCTTAGACCTACCAAAGTGTAAGTGAATCTTTCCACACATCCCGCAGGCGAAGCCTCGCCCCCCACCTGCGGGTGTTGATGGGCCCCTGGTGGGTATCCCAGTTCGACCCGAGTCGCGAAGTTGCGGAAGCTGCGCGCGCCTCCTTCCTGGCCGCGTTTCCCGCCCAAAAGAAGCAGGTCGAGGCGCTTGCCTTCTGCCAGGGGGAGATGTTCGAGTACCTGGACGAGACCCTTGGGGTGACCCCCCAAACCGTGGACAAGAGCGTCGCGCCCGAGGAGGCCGCTGACTGGGTGGAGCGCCAGCTGTCGGCGGGTCTGCTGGCGATGGCAACACTGTTGCAGGTCTTGGGGGGGCAGGCGGGCGGCGGGGGTGATGTCAGGGAGGAAACAACCAGGGGGGGAAAGGAAGAAGCGAACGGGAAGCAACAAACAACCTCCGAGGAGGAGGCCCATGAGAACGAGAGTGGGCAGAAAGACGCAGACGCGAGCAAAGGTGGGGGCATAGATCCGGGCGAGGGCTCGAGTGGGGCCGCGAAAGTGGTGGAACTGGCGGGAGGGGTCGCGGCGCGGCACCGGTTCTTCGCCCCCTGTTTGAAGCACGCGAGCCCCGTGGTGCGCGGGGCCGCGTACCAGACGCTCCGCGCGCTGTGCGAGAGCGCGCGCGCGCAGATTCGGGAGAACCTCTCGGCCGTCGCCCCCCTGATTCTGGGGAGCCTGACGGAGCGCGAGCCGGCGGTGCACCGCGCAATGTGGGACATGCTGCTCAGCTTCGTGCGTTTCTTCTCGGGGGGTTGGGAGTTTGTCAACGTGCGCAAGGCGGTGCTTCCGGGACTGTGGGGTTTACTCCGGCACGCGTGCTACGGTTCCGCAGAAGTTTCTTACCCCTGCCTGTTGGTGTTAGTCTCACTGCTTCCCCATGGTGTGGTGGGAACTGGCCCCGAGTTCTGGGGGGAGCTTTTTGGGGCGCTCTGGGGGGGGCGCGAGGCGTGCGTCGCGGAAGTGGAGTGGCAGGCCCTGCTGCGCGCTTGGCGGGAGTGTCTCGTTTACGTTTTAACAAACGCCGAAAAGTATGCGGAACCCGGAAGAGAGGGAACGCTTGCTTTCCGGCACGAGATTGTGAGAACGGTGCTGTTGGACACGGCTTGGGACGAGTACATGCAGTCCGGGGGGGGTAGTAGAGCAGGCGCCGCGACCCCCACGAAAAGCGCGGAAGTGAGCAGAGACCAAGATGCGGACCGGGTGTCGTCTCACGCACGGGCAGGCCCGAGCGGTCAAGCGGCGGCCGGGGGGGTGGCAGATGAGCGGAACGGACGGGAAGCGACGGCAGGCTCAATGGGAAGGGGCAGCCTGCGGATGCTGGATCTGGCGGAAGCAATGGGAGAGGCAGTGATTCAGATGGAAAAGATTGACGATGCACTTTCTGAGTTCTGGGCGGACCTCACGAAGCGCATTCTGGCAACGTTGTCAGAATCCGGGGGCGGTGATCCCAATGCAGTGGTGAAAAGGGTGGGGGATTTCTACATGGTGGTTTCCAGGCTGGCGAAGCGGCCCCCCGTTCTGGGGAAGAAAGGACCGGCACTGGCGATGGGGCAAAGAAAGAGCAATGCGCTGGATGCGGGGGTGAAGCCCCTGGTTGCCGGAGTGTGGGAACTAGCGGTGGGTTCAAGCGACGCAGTCCCGCTGGTTAGGCTATTGACCCGGCTTGTAACCCTGTATGGGACGGAAAGCCTGGGAGGTATTGCCGACAAGGGGGAGACTGCCAAGTCGCAGTTCGAGGCTGTCCGGTTCTTGGTGACGACCCGGCTCATCCCGTGGTGCCTCGGGGGGCGTGGCGAGGAGCGAAGCACGGTTGAAGGCGGCACACGGTTGGAGTTCCTGTTGGCGATTTTAAAGGACGAAAGGTTGCGAGCGGAGTGGGAGGGGGTCCTTGGTAGACTGACGCGCTGGGCTGTCAAGGCGGGGGGGAGCGAGGAGGATACAGTAGCGAAACACTTGGAGGATGTGGAAACACTGGGTGCTGTTTTAGGGAAACTCCGCGAACAGGGGGCGGCACGGCGGCTAAATTTGGAGTCCGCTGGAGTGGATGCGGCGGCTCTTGTAGTGGGGAGCAGTTCGTCACTGGAAGAAGCCCCCTGTCAGGAGTTTCTGAAGCAGGCGATGGGTGCCGGGGGGGGCCGCGTTCCGTTCGTTTCGGGGGCAGCGCTGAGGGGCGTTTTGGAGCGGCTTTTGCAAAGGATGGACGAAGGGCGGCAGGGGGGAAAGGGAGCGGATTTGGCTCTTGCAGCGGTGGATATCGGGGGTGCGTATGCACTGTCCAAAAAGGTCCCAGAAGAGGTGGAAGAAGTGCGCGGAAAGATCCTAGCGACGCTCTTTTCTCTGAGCTGGCTCGGAGGCAAAGCCGCAGGGGGCGTGGAAATCGGGGAGGGTGCAACGGATGGGGCAACAGAGAGCGGAATCGAAACGCAGGTCACGCAAACGGGGGGGAAGGAAACGGGGAGTCTAGAGGGTTCGGTCGAAAGGCTAGCGGCCGCAGCTAGGTTGCTGGCGGGTGCATTGACGCAAGATGTGGTGGTGCAACTAGGTGCGGAACAAAGGGCCGCCGTGCAGCACTTGTTAGTGGAGGAGATAAGGCGCCAGGTGGCGGAAGGAGAGCCTGCCACGTGTGTTCAGGTGGCGGAGCGGGCAGCAGAGGTGGTGCAAAGGTTAGCGGTTGGGAGGGAGGAGCGTGGGGCGGTGATTGATCTCTCAGTGGCGCCGATGGGCTCCTGGCCGAGATGGAGTCGTGCGATGCTGCCGGCCGGGGGGAAGAACCGGAGAGGATCTGAGGAAGGTGTGAAGGTAGAGCGGGCGTTTGCGGCGTTTGTGGGGGCGCTGGTGCAGCGCATCGGACTGGAGGAGGTGTTTCTGGCGGGAACGGAGACGGACTCCGAAAAGGGCGAAGAGGGGGGTGAGAAGAACCGGGCGTGGTTGGCAATCGAGTTAGTCGTTGCACATGAGGCGGAGGGAGCCGAAAATCCCGGCGCCGTGATGCGCTTCCTCGTCGAGTGCGGTCGGAGCGCCACCGACCGGGAGTTCGCTCTGCTGCACCACGTCATCGACGGGCTGGTCAAGGCGGCCGTCGCTGACGTCAGCGGGGAACAGGATACTGTCAGCGCAGAGAACGCGCTGCGTGCGCTGTGCCGGCTGCTGGGCGAGCTGGTGGGGGGGGCCGCCTGGGGGGGGGATGAGGTGCGCGCATTTTTCGTGAGCTATCTGGCGCCGAACCAGGGGGGGGAAACGAGGACGGGGGGGTGCTCATACGAAACTGCTGACGCAGGTGCTCCCAATCGTGATGCCACACCTGCGGGAACAGCGCCCAGGGGACTCGGAGGGGGCGGTGAACAAGACCGTTGGCATATGGCTGAAGCAAGCGCTAGAAGCGCTCCCCCTGACCGCGCCCGAGGAAGGCCCCAAGGGGGAGGCTGCCCTCGAAAAGGTCCTTCTCGCAGTCAGCTGCTTCCCGCTGCATGCTGAGGGGGGTGAGGAAGCGGTCAAAAACGCTGCACGGGCGGCCCCCCCAGAAAAGCAGGCGGATACGCTTCTGGAGTTGCTGCGGAGGCAGTTTCATTCGCGGGAGGCCATGGCGGCGGTCGCCAGAGAAGCGGCGGCAAAACGATTGGGGGCCGTCGATCCGGGCGACCCGGACGACATCGACGGCCAGGATGCGTCGGGGGACGAGTGGGCGGACCGGGTCGAAGCGGCGCTGGCGCAGCTCATGATGGCAGCCATAGCGTATGGCTGGGCGCACTTTGGGGAAGTAGAGTGGGGGGACGTGCTCGGACGCGTCGAAAAGTGGCTCGAAAAGATGGTGTCGTCCCAGGAAGAACATGCGGAGACTCTTTCGGAAGCAATTGCCGAGGCGGTGCAGACCGAGGGCGAAACGAGTGTGCGCCAAACGGCAGTCTTCGAGGAAGTCCGGGATTGTTTACACTCGGCCGACGACGATCTTTCCGGGCTCCCGCTGCTGAGTGTGAAAACACTCGAGCTGCTGCTGGCGCTGCCCCTTCCGGGGTCCTCTGCAAAGGCCGTTGATATTGGCGCAGTGGGGGGGATCGACGGCGATGAGTGGCTGAGAATGCGCCACGTGGCGCTCGTGGGGGCGCTCCGGATGGTGTGCATCGCGGGGTTGGAGGAGGCAGCGGCGCGGGAGGCGGGGGGCGACCGAACGGCGGAGCTGGTGGTTGGTGCGCGGGAGAAGCAAGGCGCGTTCTGGGGGAGCGTGGCCCGGGTAAGTTGAATTTTAATTGATCGCTTTAACTCGGGAAAAACGAAGAGCTTTGCGTACGTATCTTTTCTTTTCAGCGCCCTGCACGTGGGAAGTGGTTGGCGCAAGAAAGAAGCAAGGTGCGTTCTGAGGGAACGTGGCCTGGATGAGTGATCTTTTGTCACTTTCTCATACTTACAGATCTTTAAAAAGCTTCGGTACATTAGGAGCGAGGCGCAGGTTGAAGGCGGAATAGTTACGGCTTGAAGTCGAATGTTGTTCTGGTCATGCCGAAGTGCAGATCAAATTGCGGGAAAGAGTAGAGCTTTTAGACTGGACAACAGCCGCTCCTCGTGACCTCTTTGCAGGCTGCGGGCACGACTGCGAACAACACACTTTATAATGATCGACTGGCTCCATCAACTCTTATACGACGTCTCCTTTCCTCAGGTTTCCTCCTACGCAACTGTAGGCGCCATCACAGAAGCCGCAACTAGTATGGACACGTGGGCCGAGGTGGGCGTCGGGCGGGGGGCCGTCCCCTCCCTCCAGGCGCTCCTCTTTTCGCCCCGACCCTCGCCCCCCCTGCAACGGGCCGCCCACAGCCTGCTTTCCCGTACCCCCCTGCTGGACGTCGCAGTCTCAACAGCGAAAGGTGAGCAGCCTCTCTAAGAGATTGGCAGTTTCCCGATCCTTGGCAAGTTTGTTTTCTCCTTAATGAGCAACAGGGAGCTTTACTAGTCTTCCCCTGATTACACTTGTACCGCTTTTGAATCCTTTAAATCATCACACAGAGTTGCATTCCGAACCCCTGTCTTCGCTACGCTGCCAAGGTGGCTCCTTACTGGCGATTGACCAGGCGTCTCTATGCCAAGCAATTCCACTTCAGTGTACAAAATCGCCCTCCCTTTCAAAACACGTTCGGAGTGATCGATCCCTCACATGGCTATTACTAACTGCACATTAAGAGATGACAAGATTTCTCCTCTTTGTTTTTCAGACGAGGACGCCTCAGCAGAGGACGAAGCCCTCGTTTCCGCCGAACACCCTGCGGTGGTCGCCGGAATCCGCCCGGAGATGGCCGCGATCCTGGAAACCAGAGCGGGCGACCTGCTGCTCGCGGCGCCCCTAGCCCCATTGCGCGCGCGCTACCTGCTCGCATGGTCGCTCCTTCTCGCGCGCCTGCGCAGCCTGCCGGCCACCGCGCCTGCATACGAGAAGCTGGTGCAGTGAGTCTCTTCTCAGACTCTCAAGGTTTCAGGGTTTCAAGATTCCAGGGCTTATGTGTCCTGAGTGCTCTTCAAAACGGACGAGCAAAGATGTCGGATTTGCGCCCCGTTGAAGTTTCAAAGAGATTGAAGATGTGGCGCGGATACGAAAAGCTGGTGCAGTGAGTTTCTTTTGAAACTTGCAGGCTTGTAGGGGTTCAGGGTTTCCGGGTTTGAGTATTAAGTGGACTTCAAAACCTGAAATAGGAGCAAACAATCTTGGATCTGCGCCCCCTTGAAGTCCTAAAAGGAAGTGAAGTTGTGGCAGGCTTACGAAAAGCTGGTGCAAGGAGTCCCAACGTCTGCACATAATGCGAGCTCGGGAGACTGAGAGCCGAATTCAAATTTCCAATAGGACGATCAGAGGCTCGTCAAAGATTGGGGATGTGACCTCCCCCGGCAGTCTTTCAACCTTTCAGAAGCTCGGGCCATACGGTCGAATTCCTCAGTCTCGTTGCTTGAGAACCTCATTTTGCTTACAAGTTTGTCCTTCTGTTCTGACGCCGCGAATCAAGCATCGCCCTCGAATCCTTCTTATTGTGGTGCCTCCGCAGGTACGTCCAAGAAACGGGGGCTGCTCTCAACCTGCTAGAAGTGCTCTTCCAGTACATCCCGCTCGACCTGACCCCCCCGAAAGCGAAAGCGGCGCCGAAACGGGCCGCTAGCCTCGAGACCCCCGCGTCCGAATGGTTCCCCGTCACGAAAGCGTCGCTCCCAGGCATGGCGGCCGCACTCTACATGGACGTGCTGCGAGTGCTCCCGGCTTGCGCAAGGCTCTGGTGAGCTACGCGTCATTATGGACTTTTTTGTTCTGTCTTATATTGATCAGTTGGCACTTTGCTAGTATCATCATTTATTCCGCCACGCATGGCTTTGTAGTCGCTCAATCGCCGCAGGACAAATTGCCACTACAATTGACGTCTCCCCCGTCTAAGACGACGAAGGCGTCGCTCCCGAGCATGACGCCTGTGCTGTGAATGAACGATCCAAAACATGAACCCTCTTCAATTCTCCTTTTGCAGGTTCATGGACCTGCGCGAGCGTAGCGTGGCCGCGGCCGTCGAGGCGTACACGAGCGGCGCGTGCAGCTCCGCCCTGCTGGAGGCGGAATTCCGTGCGGTGCAGGAGTCCGTCGGAACGCAGGACAACCTGAGTATCCGCGCCAACCGCGCCGCCCGGGAGGTGATCGCGGCCTACTCCATGGACGAGTCCAGCCTCGAGATGGTCATCCGGCTCCCTGCGGCGTACCCCCTGCGACCTGTCGAGGTAAGAACGGCTTTTGTTCCTGGCGTTTACTGTAGACTAACGTGCATTTGCGACTTTTGTTCCCGGTGACATACGAAAGAAGAGGAATGTTCTTGCGATGATGAGAGTCGTAGGTTTGCTGAAGCAGAGAAGGTCATACGACTCCCTGCGTCGTACCCCCTGCGCCGCGTCGAGTTGAAAACGCGGCTTTGTTCTGGGCGTTTTGTGGGCTCGCTGTGGGAGGTCGTGGACGTTTCCTCGCTTGCGATGCTTTGGTTCCAGAGAGGCGGTTAATGAGGAAATGTTATTCTACTCAGAAGAGGCGTGGTCTGTCGAGAAGCAGAAATGGTCTTCCAACTGCCGGCCGTGTACCCTTCCTGCACGCTCGTAAGCTTAAGAGGCTTCCTAGATTTTCTGCGGGGGTGTGTTGGTGCGTTGCGTTGGTTCCAAAGAAGGGAGTTGTTTTCGAGAGAGAAGAGCGCGGATCTTTTTGAAGACGACACGGCCGACCGATTACTGGCAGCACAGCGTTTTAATCATTGCTTGTACTCACAGAATCACGATGTTATATTACGTTTATCCTCGCCTTGTGACAGGTGGAGTGCACGAAGCGCATTGGCGTGAGCGAGTCCCGGCTGCGCAAGTGGCTGCTCTCCATTTCGGCGTTCCTGCGCCACCAGAACGGCGCAGTATCGGCGGCCGTGCTCTTATGGAAGCAAAACGTGGAGCGCGAGTTCGAGGGCGTGGAGGAGTGCCCGATCTGCTACTCAGTGATCCACACGACCAACCACGCGCTGCCACGTCTCCCGTGCAAAACGTGCAAACACAAGTTCCACGCGGCGTGCCTCTACAAGTGGTTTGCGTCGAGCCACAAGTCCACGTGTCCGCTCTGTCAGACTCCGTTTTGAGGTGCCGGAAGTGCGCCAAAGAGGGGGTAACTAGAGGCTTCGCCAGGCGAATAACCGAATCGGAAGGTGCTCTGAGCACCTTGTTAAAAGTCCGCCTTTTCGGTAGAGTTCCGAGTGCGTGCGGAGATGTTGAGACTACTAACGAAAGAGCTCTTTGTGGCCGAATCAAATGACGAATTGAACACAAGAAGAGAGTCAACATTAGTTCCCCGAATTTGGAGCCAGTCTGGTTGGAAGGGACTCGGGACAGCCGCGTTCATGTCACCGATTCGATTGCGGGCTTTAGAATTCTCCAAAGGGATGAGTTTTCGTCGTTGCATAGTTGGATCAAAGCGCCGGTCGCTGGTGCGGTGTTGCCAGCCTGTAAAAGAGAAGCTTGATTCCATCTGACTTTGTTCGATCCAATCTGAACTAGAGTTGGGACATGCCCAGAGGAACCGCATGATAGACTAGCCTGAGTAGACTCGGGGCTATGCAGACAACATGCCTTAAAGTGAATTGTACGTGAGAACCATGCCAGGCCCAAGCCTGTGAGCCAATCGCTGACATTGCACGAATCATAAGGCATCGTTATATTGACAAACTTTGTCGAAAGACGACCGCTGCAGGCCGGCTGATATTAGACGGTCTGCTACATGAGTCCAAGCTTGGCTAGCTAATTTGCAACGTACAGCTTTGATAATATGACTGTTGTGTCAAAATGCAATCATGATCGTGCTATATAGCCGAGCTGCATGCGGTGTAGCTGATTGGTCGGGCCTCAGACTTCGGATTCGGGGCATGCACGTTGATCGCGGTTGACGTCTTGGACTTGTGCCAGAAGACATATATAGTCGTGATTCAGTGTCATGGTGCAATACTATTGGCTTTCTCGGCTTCTGCAAGTGGTCCACAACTGACTGCCGATCAGATTAGGTAATAGGATCATCAATTCCATAGCTTATGCGCCCTATAGTCTAAACACGGTGCACAGTGCAAGCAACACTCCACACCCACTCCACAGTTGATTGTATTGCTGGTTCTGCAAATGCTGTGTACGTGGCCAGGCCCGAATAATGATGGAGTGCGGGCCTGGCAATGAAGTCAAAGGCAAAGGGTGACCTATTCAGGGCACTTCCGAAGTTGACCGTTGCTTCCATAAGTCCTAATGCACCAGCGGATTTTCCATGCACTGGCTACACAGCTTCTTCTTGATTCGAACACGAGAACATGATTGCCTTCCCTTTACCTTTCTCAGTCATTCTTTCACCGTCCAATGCCCGATGCACGCAATCCATCTTGTTGAGCTCCTCAGGCTTCGTTGGGAAATACGGCTCTTTATGAACTTCCCCTACAATCTTTCTGATCATGGAAAGATCTCTGTTGTATAATACGTCATACTCACAACCTTCACAATCAATCTTCATCACAGCTACATGCTTCCCGGAAGGTACATAATTAGAAAGCACATCATCAAAAGTACACATCTGCACCTCAACTTCTACTGGGATCAGCTTGCCCCAGTCCTTTATGTCTGGCCGCCTTAATACCGTGCTGCCTCCTTCATGATTGGTGACAAATGACATAGTCACATTCTGGCCAGTCAATGACAACCCTCTGTTAATAGCCACCACATTTCTGACCTGGTTTCTAGCCAGGTTCCACCGCAGCAAGGCGAAGTTGAAAGGCACCGGTTCGAAGGTGTATATCTTTGCATAAGGGTAGAGCTTGCCGCAAAGAACGGCAAACCAGCCTAGATTGCCACCCACGTCCAGCACAATGTCGTCTTGAGTCAGGTTGAAAGAATCCAGGTGATACTGCCTCTTCTCCCCAAACTCTCTGTTCAACACCTCCAGATCACTCAAGATACCCGTTTCATTTTTCTTGTCTCGCTGCCCTCTCATGACGATATTGATGCCATAGTTTGTGGTGTTCAGATCCGCCCATTCGGCCCATTCAAAAGCTGAAAGTGGTGGCAGCTCATCCGTGTTGTACATTGGCAGCTTCAACGTTACCTTTGAATATGGTCCCCGCAGAATGAGCTTACTTGAGCTTGACCCCATTGACACGAAGCAAGATTGGGGACGGTACAATGCGATCCCGCAGAGAATTACGAAGCAAAGAAAGAGGATCAGATTGAACTTGAAGGGTGGACCGCTAGCCTGAGTGGCTGATTGCACCGCGCTCGACGTTGCTGCAGTATTCCTCCCCTTGAGGGGGCCTCTCATTTTCCAATCCTCAGTGAAGTTCTTGACCTGTTGAAGCATGAATGATTTCCTTAACGAAGGCCTTCTCTTCTTACAGCAAATTAGTACCTCGGTAGATCTGAACACAGTGCCCGGCCAAGCGTTCACCCTGATCACCTCGTTTGCAGAAACACAGTTAACAAGCTTACACAGCTCGTCGAGCAATGGTTCCAGCCGCAATATGCACGGAGTAGGTATTCAGCTTTCAAGGCACTGACTCTGAGTCGACCCCGTACATACCTATGCTGTCTTCGTGACAGCCTGCTTGCTGGTGCTGATTGACCGTGCTGATGTCAGGCCGGGGCGCCAGGTTCGGGCGAGC